CAGAATGAATTTTGTGAAACTTGGTATGAATCCCTGCATTAGGCTATTTCTCCACACCCCAAACCTCCTGTCTCAGAGGAGATGAAAAGATTAAGCAGCAGCCTCCTTTATATCCACCCTGTACTCAACCACATTGAGTACCCAGCACTTCTGGAGTCTTGTGTCCATCTGGGGCTCCTTGGGGCTGCCTGAGCCAACTCTGTCCCATGCAACAATCCTCACAGAGCCACAGAGATGAGGAAGGAGCTGTCCCTGTTGTGAGCAGGGTGTCTGAACCAGGTGACTGCTAGAGGTCCCTTCCAGCTCAATTAGTCTACTGGATGGGCTAGGTTTCGATATAGATGAGATCTTCTCTCATCCTGGTTGTCACAAATACGTCATTTGCAATTTATCATTTATTTTTTTCTCTTGACTTGGCGGGGATCAAAGTGACTCTTTGACCAAAACTCCTCCTCATATAGTCACAGCTGAGCTTTAGGAAAGACAATGTGCAGTACTGTCAGTCCCATGCAAACTGTGGGTTTAGGCTGTTGTCTGAGCAGCAACAGCCTTTCCAGCTCTTGCTGTATTGGTTGTTAAATAATTACCAAAAAAAATAGTTGTTAAATAATTACCATGGCAAATCTGCCAAAGGGAGTGAACAGAGGTCCCTCTTGTCCCAGGTGGTGGCACAGAAAGGAAGACTTGATATCCTCTTGGGAAACAAGATGGGAAAGGACCACCATCCTCAAAGGGAAAGGATCTCTCCTTAAAACCTGTCCTTCCCTCTACATCCTTTGTCCAAAGACAATCTGCAATTAAGGAGAGAAGTGAAGGCTGATGACTAACCTGTCCTCGCTGAGCTTTCTGAAGGAGAAGGAAAGGGCTGAAGACATCCATGTCATCCAGATGACTACAGATTATCTTTCCTTTGCAATCTATGGGCTTAGTCATGAGCCCAAAGTGGGAAAACTACATTATTTCTAAAGACATCATCCGATTCTCATCCATGACATTATGTGCTCATTTCCTCAGTGCAGAGATTACTTGGTAAGCAATATTCTTCTGCAAGCCAGATTTTCTCAGGAGTGTGCTCCAAGCTGCCAACAAACTCCAGTGTGCCTATTTTATTTTCATGGATATTACTTCTTTCCCACTTTCTAAACTGGATTATAGAAGGTCTCTTTAATAGGCATCTTCTGACAATCATGTTAGGAACAGCACATACTGCTTAGATTTGCTTTAAATGCAAGATATTATCTCTCCCTCCATGCTTAGGACAAACAAGCGAAGCCCAATGCTAATCCTTGGTTCAAGATGTGCAGCCAAATTGTATGGGTTTCAGGTATTTACACCCCTTGAAAGCAACAGCCGTCGGGTTTATATGGAAATACCTCCCTCTGTGCAATTGAAGTAGCCACACTCTGGGAAGAGAGTCACTTTATCAGGCTGGCACAAGCAGCGGACGTGCTGTTCCCCCTTCCCTCTGTGTGATGGCAACAGTAAATGCTTCTTTCATTGCTTGGAGAAGTTTGCAGCTGCTGACAAAATCACACAATATGCTACTGCCATCACAAACGCATCCTCTTCCCTCTTGTCTTAGGAGAACAGACCAGAGGAAGAAAATAAGGCATGGAGCTAGCTTTAAAAACTGAACAGTCTGCACAGGAGGACGTGGCCCAGATCAGCCTCTGTGCAAGAAAATAGCACCAAGTTTCTTGGAGCCTGATGGCTTCTCAGAGGCAGGACCTGGGCCAGCTGCAGAGTTGCGTCTGTGCCTATGGCAATGCAAATCACTATATGCACATATAAGATCAGTGACTTAATGTGATGCCTGCTTCACTGAACTGAAAAGTCCATCTCAAGGACTCAAGGAACGTACAGCAGGTTGCTGTAGCAGACAGTAACACACAGAAAACCATCTCAAGAGACTGGCCGGGGACTCTGTCTGCGTGTCTCAGTGTGCTGACTTGCGCCTTTGCCCTGGTGCTCCTGGTCACAGAGCACAGGGGACCTGTATGGGGACTTGTATGCGGACTTGTGCTGTGACCAGTCACATTCTGCCCTGTCCGTGGGACTTCACGGCTTTGTGGTCCTGGGCAGGCATCCAGCACGGCTTGCTGGATTGACAGGACTCTGGTGTCCATGTCCCTCAAGGGCTACAGCCATAGCTGTAACGGGCATTGATGGTAATTTCCCCTCTCTGCCTGTGTGGTGTCTTTTTAATCAGTAGAGAAGAAAAGATCTGCTTGTCCAAGCAAACACCTTTCTTCTATCTTTCTACTTCAGTCTTTTCGCAGCTGCTTTGCAATCCTAAACTTTGCATCGCCTTCATAGCTCAGAGGATCTGGAGGGCTCTGGTGAGTGTGGCCTCCAGCCTTCAAATTAAGGGTGCAAAAGACTCTAGATGATCCGATTTTTATACGTGGTTCTCATCTGGTGACATGTGTGAGGTCCAAAGGCAGACCTCTTCCACTTACCGCCTAAATTCACATGTTTTATATGGTACCCTTCTAAGGCACTAGCCTCTATTAGTCCTGATCTGAGTAAATTAATTAGAGAAAATAATTAAACTAACTTGCTCTGTACAATTACCTCATTCCTACACAGCTAAGACTCAAAGCTTAAGCCTCATGCATTTAAATTCCAGTCTTTATTCTCCCCTCCGCAGAGACCTGTAACTCCCTGTCACCTCGGTCTAGCCCGTTCACATTAAACAGGTGGCAGCCTGGCAGCAGAACGGGGCTTTTTGGGGCTCTTCTGCCAGTGCTGTTGCTGCTGCAAGAGCAGCACCTGCTAACATGGGAGTGAAGCAAGCACTGCATCCCAGGGAAGCTCTGCAATCACCAGGCCTGGACTAAGTCTGCAGAGACACCGAGAGCATGGAATAAGCCTGTCCAACCCTGGAATGAGCCTGTTCAACCCTGTGCTGTGAGCTGCCAAAGACAGGGTGTCCTGCACAGGCCGGAGGACACCGGGAACTGCCCCATCACTGACATCTGCTAGCTGGTTATCCAGCTCGAAGCCTCTCCTGCCGTGGGATCTGCCCAGAAGTCCCTTCCCAGGGTGACTTTTCCAAGCCTCACAGCCAGATCATGCTAAGAGGCATCATCTACATTTCCCCTCAGCTTTGGTCCAACACATTGCATTGATGAAGAGCCAGGAGAGGATGCGGAGAGCTTGGTGGTCACCACCACAGTGATACCTGGCTGGAACCAGCACTGGGTTGCATTTGGGAAGAATCTTGCAGTGCCGGAGCAAGAAGGGGATGTCTGCAGGGCTCCCATCAGAACTGCAGGCAACGCTGAGTGAAGGTGTCAAAGCAAAAAGCTGTAGATGGGCTGAAAAGAGTGGTGCAGGGATATTTTGTTTCTTCACCTACTTCTCATCCCCCTGCCTTCCCCATCCCGCTTTCATGTCAAAAAGCCTCAGAGAACATTTTAGCAAGTAGGAATTTGTCATGAGTTCTGCAGCACAGTGCTACAAGGCAGCACAGTGAGAGGGTGACATTGGTTACAAGGGACTTGCTCTGACTCCCACACGTGGGTGCAGCAGGTGATCCTGGGGACGCTCGTCTACACATAGAACAGCTCAATAACTTAGTCTTTACATTTTTTCCTCTCTGTCCTCACCTCTTCACCAGTTCTTGTTTTTTTTTTCAAGAAAACAAAGAAAAAACCCTCTAGAGATGGAAATTAGAGATCCGTTTTGCTCTGTGTTAGCAGCTGCCTGTGAAAGTGCACACTTATAAACAGCTGGTAAAAGCACCTCATAACAAACTGTCTGAATTATTTATAAAAGCAGCTTGTGTCTTCTCAAGCTGCTCAGAAAAAAAAAAAAGAATCCTGAACATTGCCCTCGGTGAATTAGCAATTACACCATATTTAAAAGTCAGTGTTTAAATCATGCAGAGTGGGACCGTGCACTGAGTTATGTCATAAGCTGTCGCCTGGCTGCTAGTTTGGCTCTTGGAGAAGCACAGAAATGTATTGCAAAAAAAGAAGAGAGCAAAGTTCTCCACTAAGGGATGTGAAAGTTGTGGATATTTTGCAGATCCAGATAAACCAGGGAAGAATCATATGGGTGTGAGGGACACGTGTGGTCCAGTGCAACATCATGCAGGAATTGGCTTTCTGTGCCTCCGGGCTCCTGGAATATGTGGACCGTGCTGCACTTTGATTTAAAGAGGCAATCCTCACTTCCCCATGCAGAAATTATGGATGGCAGGACACAGCCCTGCACATCTGGGCTGCTCAGGTTCAGAACTCGGCGTTGCTGCCGGCAAGTTTGCTGCACATCGAAAAAGCTGATCTTGCTAGGGAGCAATAAAAGCACATTCTGTGTAGCATTCTGAACGTCGTTCAAGATTGTCACCCTTTCAACTTCTCATTTAAAAAAAAAATCTTTATCAGATGTGCAATCCTCCTTGCTTTGGAAGGATGCTTTGGCTTGCAACACACTGGAACACATCAGGATATATATTTGGTCACACTGACACCTTAGGCAACAAGATTAAAATCATTTACACCATTTTGCAGATTTAAGTCTTACAGAATGATGCATAGAAAGTAAACAGTTATTTTTTTTTCTGCTCATATTTTCAGTAGGAAAATACCATTTCAGCCTCACACCTATAAGGGTCCAATAATGGAACTCCCAGACATAAGTTATAATTTCTCATTCTCCCAAGCAGCGGTAATATGGTAAATCTCTAAAGGAGAGTGAGAACGTTTTCCTCTTGAAAATCATTCAATAAATTTAAATCACTTGAATAGATTTCGAAAAATTAAAAACATCACTTTCCATTTAAAACAAATGGACCTTTTCCCTTCATTAGAGAAGATGTAAAGTAGTATAAAATTTAAAGACCTGGCCGAACAGATATTAAGTTCAGTGGGACCAGGTCTAGACTCTGACAAAGTTCAGAAGGCATGCAGAGGGGAATGCGTCTGAAAACAGAGTAGGAGAATTTGGAAAGAAATAGAGGAAAACAAAAGAGCAGAGAGCCAGGCAGAGGTTACCTTTAAAGAACGACACGAAGAAGGATGCCCAGAGACACAGCGCGGAATACAGGAATCCCAAGCACTTCCCTGCGAGCATGGTGGGAGCGGCGCGGCCGCGGCTCGGGAGCGGGGCTGGAGCGGCGCCGGGGCCGGGAGGCAGAGCAGGGTGCCGGTACCGCGTGCGGTTTTGCGCTCACAGCAGCGGCTTTGTGTGCGGGTTTGGCGCTCACAGCACCGCGGCGCCGAGCCCGCTCCGCGCCGGGCGCCGCATCCTGCGGCCGGTTTCCGCGCTCGGGAGCGGGGCGGGCTCGGCTCCCGCATCCCGCCGCCGCGGCGCTCCCTGCCCGGCGCGCTGCCTCGCTGCCCGCCCCGCTCCCCTCCTCCTGCCCCGCTTTGCTGGCCGGCGGGCACGCGCGCCTGCTCCTCCTTGCCTTGCACTGCTTTGGCCTTTTGGGGCTCTTTTTGCCCCTCTTTTGCCCTTGCCTGAGTGCTTTGAACGGCGTGGCCAGGACAAAGACATGAGTGTCTGAGCACTGTGTGGTTTGCGTTGCTGTCTCTGCCTTCCCTGCTTATGTGTGTAGATATGCATGTGTTTGTGCCCGTTTTGCACCTTTCTTTGTGCAATACCAGTTGCTGATGCTGCTCCAAGCTGGGCAGCGGGTTTCTCCCAAGTACAGCACCCGCACACCAAGAACTCCTTCCAAAACCCATCTCGGCTACAACAGCAGTACCGAGGGATAGATGGTATTGTTTAATGCCGTCTGTAGCCAGGAGGGTTTGAAGTTTATAGGGTTTGTGCTTATAGTGGGGCTCTCTCACAATGTGGCTATGCAGACATGCATGCAACACAGTTTTTCACATTTCATTTTTGAATAACTTGTCTCTGTCCCAGAAGCTTATAAGAGAGAGAAGGAACATCTGCTTTAAAGGGTAGACTGGGGAGTTAACTCTGCAGCAAACATAACTGAAGTTCATTATTCTCCTTTCTGTAGAAGCATTTTGATCATTGGTTCTGTACCAAGGATAACTGCATCTTCGTCTTGGAAAATTCTTCTAAAATGTGTGATATGCTGCTTTTTGCCAGGCTACTGGCAAAGGGGATTTGATAACAAATAGAAGAGTCTAGCATTATTATTGCTATCAGTGTCTTTCCAGTATTGTGAGGAATATCCCTTATAATCTCTATGAGTCATATGTGAAAATGTCCATGTTGTAAAGAAATTACAGGTTAAATACACCAGGGTGGGGTAATTGTTGCTGGGTAATTCATAGATCCTCATACTATGGCTAGAGCAAACTGACCAGCTTGCTCAAGTCATGCAAGGTAGCAAGTCACAACAAAGGAGATGTGGTGAGTGCTATAGGTCGCATGCTATAGACTTTGGGCTTTATGCCTATGCTAAAGTCCCCTCTCTCTATTGTGTGAACCAAAGCACCCTTGCCCAGGTCAAAGGGCACTCTGCCCAGGAGCAGAAGATAAAAATCATATAGCTCTCAATTGGATTAAAAAGTGTAAAATCAAATAGTGATCACTAGAGAAGGGAGAGGACCGGGTGAACCCAAGACAAAGAAGGACATTGCGTTCTAATAAATTTTGGGGGAACAAACATGCAAACTCCAAACAGAAGTACAATATTAAAAAAAAAAAAAAAAAAAAAAAGAAAAAGAAAAGTAAAGATAGTTTCACAATGGTGTGGAGGGGTATTCCTCAAATGCATCATATCAGGTATTGAAATGACTCCGAGCCTACTCAAGAAGAGCTACTATTGTGAGAGAACCTCCAAAACACACAAAACTTACAGATTACAACTGGGAAAGAAGGAGGGTAAAGTGACGTGCAAGTCACTTAGTGTTACTACTACGAAAGCTGATAATGTCACCATTGGTCCGCTCAGACTCCACTCTAAAGCAAATTCTAAAGGAAACATCAGCGCAACTAGGCACCATTAATTATTTTTGATCACAAAGCCCTACTATTTTACTCAAAGTAGGTTTGAGCTCTACTTCTTTTGCAAGTTTTGTTGTAAATAGATTGAAGAATATTGCTTTTTTTACCAACCTGCTATTCACTAACTTCAGAGACTTCTTCCTATCACATCCTATCTTGAGTAGGCTCAGAGTTGAATTCAGAGACAGTCCTGTTATTTCCTTTGCTTTAAGACTTTTACTCTAAAGGATGTGTGCATGTGTTCCTATCCTCAGTTCTAAGAAGATTCAGTAGTCTGGTTAATCTGTTAGGTGAAGGTTGGAAGATAAATGAATAAACCCAACAAAGGGTTGATAGGGCTGACAAAAGGCTGTTTGTTCTCCAAACACACATTTCCAAAGGTCATAAGTAACCAGCTGTACCTTGACTGATTCCTGCAGTTAATCAGCTCTTCTGAAACAGGGTCACTTGTTTTGACAGCTCCTGTTTAATTTTAGTCATTATTTCTACATATTATTACATACTGTTCTTCCAGCACAAGCTGAACTCAGAAGGTCTGTAAAGTGCTAGGCCAGGACAGGAGACAGAAGCTCGGCCTGCAGGCGTGTGCACCAGATGGGCATCCTAGGTTGTTCAGAAGACTATTTAACAAGTTAGAACGTGTAGCAAACCCTACTTACACAATGGCACCATAGCAGGAGCAACGATGCACTCTGGGCACAGGCGTTTTACTACCAGCATCCCCTCTAAAGAAAAAAAAAGCCTTGCAGGCCAGACCCAGAAAGAAATGAAGACCAAATTCTTTACCATAGGACTGAATATGCTGGTTTTTTTAAAGATTATATGGAAAAAAAAATATAGTAACACAGAAGTTACATATGCAGCCAAACGAATCACAGTGTATTGTTGATCCTCATCAATATCTGGAGGTGAGGAACTCCTTTACCATGTGAGATGTTCAGAAGTCCTAATCCTGCTATTGGGGTTGCATAAAGAAGGCTTTTTACAACTTCAGGAGAGAATCCATCTCTATTCATCCAGAAATCAAGAAGTATTAGAGTATTAGCTCTGCTTTGGACACAGTCAAATCTCTTTTCTCCTAATCTCACCACTGACCCTGGATTTGCCAAAAAGAGTAGATAGTGCAAATTTTCAGCATGTCTCCCCCAGGGAGGCTGGGAAACGATTCCTGCTAGATGATTCCTGCATGCATCTGTGACTTAGTTCCACACTTAGAGCATTTTGCCAGAGCAAGGAGTTGTCAAAAAGCTAGGCTCTAAGCTATTCCCAGCTGATTTATTCACTTGTTTTTATCTTGAGCTTTCTCCTCTCTTCTCTTATCAGTAACTCCACAGCCTTGGACAAAAGACCAAGAGTTTAATAAACAGCCTTGGGCTACACACATCTGAGAGGCAACTACAGCAAAACAAGAGCTCTCACCAGTGCATGGAGACACCCGTTCTGGTCCTTGAGTGTTTACAGCATAAGGATGCTAGGTCTTCCATCTTCACCCAAAAATACTGTGACCACTTTTCATTTTGCATTCATTAATTGTGAGGAATTAGGTGGAAGGGGTACTCCATTCTAATTACCAAAAAAGGATTTGGAATTTGCAGGGGAAATCTCAGGACTCTGTAACAATGTGCACAGCAGGATAATGGTAGAGAGCTGCCTGGCAAGGCCTCTGGTCTGCATATGATCTCCAAAATACATATAGGTGGCAAGCAGTGACAGTGGCCATGGAGCTCAAACCATTCAGGCTCAGCAAAGCAACTAAAAAGCTCAATTATTTCAGTCCATTTTACCAGAGCTCTTCCTGAAGGGACAAGTCCCAAGCTGGCCAAGACCAACTGCTCAGTAGTGCGCAGCTTGATGCTTGGCTTTGGGTTGTGATGGCCTTCTCCATACACCACTCCTTGATAACTGCAGCTGGTCTGCATGCAGCCAGCATGTCCATAACTTCATCACAAATTTTGCACAGCCGAGTATTATTTTAGCAGAGGAAGGCAAAAGAGCAAAGTCAGTTCCTGCCAAAGTCTATGTCGTCCATTTAGTGGCTGGGGCTTCTGTAGAGGGATCTTTGTCTCCTCTATACACTCTTTCTTTAAGGAGACCTGTGGAAGGTGTTAGACAAGAACTGGAATGGCAAGATGAGGGGAAGAGTCCAAAGACAGAAGATGAAGGGGAAATGGACAAGCTGAGGCCCATAGGTATGAGAATCAGCAATATGCTGCTGTTGGCGTCCAAATTGGGGGAGTAACTGCCTTCAGAGTGAGTGTGACCACATATTCCCAACCCAGAGACCCACCAAGAAGTTCAAGCACAAAGATATTTATAAGGGAGAAACCACATGAAGTTCATGATTTCCCACCACACGACCATCCCCTCCAGCACCAGCAAGATCTGAGGACTGGTGTTCAGCCTGACTTTCCTACTAGGACCACCAAAACAGAGCTGTCTCCTTCTGGCTCATCTGATTTCAAATCCACATTCAGACAACAATATGTCAAACTGAAACTACCACCACTTGGCCAGGAAACTTTGATGAAATTCAGACTCGGAGTCCTTGGAAAATGTTTCAGCCATGGATGCTGATGGTACTACTAATGCAAACATCAAATGAGGAGTCAGAAATATTGTTGGAGAAGTAAATGCTCTGAAGGGCTTTGCTGCAGCTTGGGAATAGACTCTTTTCCAGGAGTAATAAAGTAACTTTAAACAAAAAACCATGGTCCTGACAATTGACAGAGGCAATCTACTCTTTGCACCAGGTTCAGGAAATGGATAACATGTGAAATTGACCTATAAAAATTTCACAGTAGATGACTACTCCTTTTAACAAACCCTCTGGCTGTGTCTGCAATTTACCCCCAACTTCCTTGGCATAGCATCAGCAGCAATTTGTGCTCTGAAACGCTCTCCTGAAGGCAGGACCATGTGTGAAAACGCATTCCAGGGCAGGCCAGGTATGTATGAAAGCCACCTCAAGATCTGGGATGGAGGAATGCAGGATGATCCCAACCTCACACCTGGTGACATTGATGCTCTTGCCTGGTTCACACGGCTTGAGACACACTACGGAACCACACAAGGTCCTCAGCAGCAATCACTCTCTTGTCTTCTCCTGGCTGAAGGGTCTCTGCAAAGAGGTACCTGAGCTGCCAAATGGCTTGAAATGACTAGCACCTCCTTAGTGGTGGAGTATGGAAAAGACTCAAAGAAGATAGGCCAGCACACATAGCACCATGTAGGTGCTATGGTCACCTAGTGCTCACCAACATAAGGCCACAACTTCCCAAAAGGAAAGGAAAGAAGGGCTGGTAATTCTTCCTGAGTTGTACGGGTCCTCAGCCATCTTGTCCAGATTCACTCACTTTCACTCACTTGAAAAAGATAATTATGATTTAAAAAAAAAAGAACAACAATTCTGCATGTATCAAAATAGTAAAACTCTAAACAGATATTTATTATTCAGTTACATTTGGTTTTCATTGCACAATTGTGTTTTTATCCCCATTTTAATTTTTTTTTGTTTACAAAGATACATGGACATTAAGAAATTGTTGAAGTGATCAGTTAAGTCTATTTAGGCACAGTTCATTAACACACAAATCCATTTTCTCCATTTTTTTTTCTCTCTGTAAGTATCTATGGTTGCATTCCAGCTCCAAATTGAAACACATATCAAACATTACACATACACAGGCACACCATCTGAAAAAAAAAAAAAAGTTCTACTGAAGTTCTGATTAAGTAGTCTTTGCCCTTATAAAGGTCGCAAGCAAACCCAAATGAAAGCAATTTATTTTCCGTAAATCAACAAAATCCTAAGCTAAAAGCCCTGGTCGTTGAGAAATTTCTATGCCATCCATAGCATGAGCAAAGAAACAATTCTCAAAAGAACATAAAATCGCTTGAAAATAAATTGCTTTATCTTGGAAATAATTTAAATAATTTATTCTGTATGAAAAATAAGCAAAAACAAGGCAGTGCATGAAGCTTGTATGGTGACAGGAAAACTGCCATTATCACACAGGCTGCTGAGATTGTACCAAACATCTGATAAGGATCCCTTGAAAAGCAAAGAGTGTTTGTGTCACATCACTTTGGCTACACTCTGTGATAATGGCTTTGAAGCTTGAAGCTGTTAGATGGTTTGACGTGGCCAAAAAAAAATCTCTGGCTTCTCAATTTTTTTTCCTAACTTACCTATCGGTATTTGTGAGAAAGCCTGACCGCTACTGGCCTTGTAAGATTCATGCACTGCTTAAAGCTTTTTATCTGGAGAGAGCTGCTTTGCAGGAAAATCTGTACAGCAGGAAAGTTCATTTTGAAATGAGCTGAAGTTTTCTTCAACTTTGTTATTAATATATTACTATCCCCTTATTTTTTCACAAAAAAAAAAAAGAAAAAAAAAGCGTAGTGTTAAATAAGTGACTGGTGCTAAACGTATTTTTTTTTCCTGAATGTCTATCCCCTTTTTGCACTGTCACAGAGAACTTGCTTAGAAGGAAACAAAAATACAACATTTTAGCACCCAAACATGTTGCTGCTACGTAGAAATGCATGATATTTTGAAAGCCGGGTGAAGTCTCTGAAGCAGAGCAAGAGGGATGCTGGAGTCTTTCCATGATTCTCGTAGCTAATGAGCATTTAATGGCCATGAGCTCCCTGCCAGCCACTGCTTTTGGTGGCCAGCAGAGCAGCGTGTTGCAGGAGCACAGGCAGCGCGCAGCTCTTAGCCCTCTTGCCAAGGCGCCCTCTTTGCAGGGGCCTCTGTCTGCACAGATTATTTCAAATCTCTTGGAAAACATCAGGCTTCAGGAAGCCAGTGGGACATAATATTTACACCTGGGTGCGTCGCAACAGATGTGTATGGACACAGGTCAACCAGTGTTTCCTTGGGGCTGGGATGTCTCCATGACCTCGGCATTTAGGGATTCGAACAGCCTTGCCACATGGGAGCTGTGGAAGCACCCGGGCATCTGCAGGAGCTTTTCCCTCAGACTAGGCCCCAACAAGGTGACACGCGTGAAAGCCAGCTACAGATAAGTGTGTACACCAGCCACAGCGTGGTAGGAAAAGCTGCTAGATTCTGGGCATGAAGAAAGAGGCAGCCGTGGACACAGAGATGTGTGATAACCCCCAAATCAGGGACGTCAGCTCGGGCTGTCCCTTGGTCCTGCTGTTGGTAGCACCATTGCTGAGAGGGCTGCAGTGAGGGTGCAGGGGCACCCCCACGGCCTTCCACCCTTCCCAGCTTTGGCTGTCATCCTGGAGAGCCTGCCGAGAGCTCCAGGGCCACCACCCCCGTAGCCACAGCCGGCCTTTGGCAGGAGAAGTACTGTCGGGACAAAAGAACAGGCCACTGACTCGGCAGGCCCAGAAGCCTCCGCTGCCGCCTGCAGCTTCTCCAGGGGGAACCAGCCCTGTAGAGCTTGGCCTCCGGAAAGAACAACACTCCTTTCCTCACCACCAGCGGTGGGGAGAACGGCCCGCAGCGCATGGCTGCGGCAGCGTGGGCTCTGTGCAGGGCCGGTGGAAGAGGCAGGTGGAGGATCGCTCTGGAGCCAGAGCTGCCCTGGGGCTCACGTGCAGGGCTGTCTTCCAGGGCAGGAGGACAGTGGTCATGGCAGCTGCATTGAGGGATCTGGGGCGTAATAGAAGCTGCATCCTCTKCWKGACAAAACCCAGAGGATGGGCAGCAAACAGGACATCAGAGCTCTAACTGTTTGCTTCTTCAGGACAAAACCCAGATTTCCCAAAGCTGACACTAGCTTTAACATGTCAGCTTCTGACGCGAGCGGATGGGCAAGCGAGGAGGACCCTGAGGAAGTGTGGCAAGTCCGTCGGTGACTGCCTGGTGACGGATAGGGGAATGGGACCACCACGAGCCAGAGAAGCACTGTTGCCTGAAACATCAGTCTTTCCCCCAGCAAAAAGAAAAAAAAAATCAAAAAACGATGACAAAGAAAAAAAAAGTAAAAAAAGTTTTCCGCAGGAACTGGAGTCTGGTGCAGTTGCCAGCGGTGTGGAGGCCACTGCCCTCAGCACATGCCTACTTCCTTGCAGATGTTTTTGAGCTCCAGATCCAGCTGTTTAATTTGGATATCTCTCTGGTTTACCAGCTCACGTAGTCTCCGTATCTCTTCCTGTTGTCGGTAAAACATCTGCAAAAGCTGTAAGAAAAGACACACTTTATTTCTCTAACACTACAGAAACACAGACTTTCCCTGTCAAACGCACCCAGTCCTGTCACATCACTCCTGGAATAGCCTCTTAGGGGGAATCTTCCCCTAACAGACTGGCCACCATCAGGGCTCCCACTGCTCACTGGTTTGGGCTGTACATGTTGGTCTTTCTCAACAGCACTTATCAAAGGCACATCCCTTAACTCAGCAGCAGACAATAACAGGGAAAGGGGTCTTCATGCCACTGATAACTCAGAGCCTGGACACAGAGAATCCAAAGCCTAAACTGCTGGATCTGCCACATCCTGCTAGGTAGTGACACTGCTCCACCTTTGAGGGACAGGCTCATGCACAGCGGGAACCTGAAGATGCGTGGGGGACACTGAGCTCTGCAATTGTCCAGGCTCTGCAACACAAACCCTTCCTGATTCTGATATTTTTGGAATGGGATCTTTTTGACAGATGCTCTGGATATTCCCCCACAGCCCCAAACCCTTCACTGGAAACACTTTCACACCTCATTTTCAGTTTTTGGTGGTGGACACTCAAATATGTCAAAGCCATTGGAGAGGCGCATTTGCTCTTTTTTCAGCCACGTCTCTTCCACATTTAGCTGGTTCCTGCTGTCTTGGACCTCACTTTGCTTCTGCCTCTTATCCAGTGGGCTCCTTCCTCCCCAGTCCTGGCTTTGGCTTGGGGCTGTAGGTTTCAGGAATGGCTCGGGCTCAACAAATTGCGGCAAGGAATTCACCGCTCCAGAGCCTGGTCTCAAGGACACCAGCAGAGGCCCTGCAAAGGGAGGCAGGTTGCTGGTTAGAAATCAGCACCACAATCAGAAATCAGCAGTAAGCAACGCATCCAAACAGTGTGCGGGGATAAACATGAGAGCACTTGATGGGAGAGATTCCCAGAGTTCACATATTTCAGCCACCAAAATATTTTGGTTCACAGCTATAATTTTCACGTCTCTCATCTTCCTCATTTCCTACTTCTCTGGCAGTTATTGGGCCAGAGAGCCAGTGGCAGCTTACCCAAGCCCCGGGGAGCTGAAGGGCTGGGCTGCTCTCCATGTGCTGACCTTTGTTAACTCCGTGCAGCCACTCTTGTGCTGTCAGGGCTGGCTGGGCTCCAGTGGTCAAAGGGTAGATGTCTTCCTGGTATGACTCCGACTGCAAGCAAAAGGGAAAAACGAAGTCACTGCATCAGCCCCTGGGAACAGTGAGGCTTGGCACTGTGCTTAGTGGGACCATGCATGCTCATGCATGGTAGAAAAGTCACTCATTCTACTGCAGTGCATCAGCAGTATTCATCAGCATGGGCGGAAAGTCTTCTCACCCACCCTGTGTCTCCTACATCCTCATTCAAACCATTGCTTGGAAGTACAAATCATAAGGGGTTTTGAGGAAAACTGGCCATGGAGGTAACACTGGAGAAACCTGCATAGATGGAGGTTGCAACAAACCTTGGCTCTGACTGGGGTACCCACATCTTCCAGGATTTCTGGAGAAGCTGGTAAAAAGCAGCGCACACACACTATTATTTCCCCTCCAGCGACTTTTTTCCTTCCTTCCTCAAGGAGTAGTTCATGTGTCACTTAACATTGCCCCAAACCTCTATCTCCCTTTCCTCATTATGACAAACAGATGCCAAATGAGGAAGGTTACAGCCAACCAGTTGACCCAACAGTCAGAGAAAGACTTGTCATATCCAAGTAGAGCAGACTGATGAGCATGTCTTACATGAGAAAGATAGCTGTCATAAAGACATAACTCCTGAGCTACCCAACCAGGATTTATTGGCAGCACCGCCCCAGAAGCTGTCAAGCTCTGTCGCTCCTCCCAGGAAAGAGAAAATCCCATGTTCTACCTGCTCTCCTGACTCCTGAGAGTCATAGAGAGGAGACACTGCTCCTCTTTCAGTGATACATGCCCCAGAAACAGGTGTGACCTGAGGGTAACTCACCCGTCGAGGCACAATCATGGAGATGGGCTGAACCAGATTTTTAGTTGGGATCAGTTTGTAGAAACGGAAAATCTCACAGGCTGACACTTCAAGGCCTCTCTTTGGCATTATTCCTGATGGAAGAGCAGAAGAGAAAGAGGGGACAGCCCCATTAGGAGGATTTAGGAGATAGCAGAGTTTATGTCATGCACCAGGCAAAAACAAAAAAAGTGCTGCCAAATAACAGGAGTCACAGCAACAGCTCCATACTAGTATAGTCTAAAATCTGTACCCAAAACTTAGCAGAAATAATCAACAGCTGAGATTCACTCATTTATTTCTGTTAGACTACAAGGTTACACATAGTGTTTATAAGCCTCATGTTCCTTACTTAATTTATGAGCCACAGATAGAGTGGCCAAGCAAAACAAGTAGATGATGTCACAGGATTTAATTATCAGGATCAACAGGAATGGATTTCTTATACATAAATAACTGTGCAGGTCTTGGCAAAGGTCTTTCCAGTCAATAGTCCATCACCAACAGTGGCTCAAAGTAAGACAGAGTATAAAGGTATGAAAATTTATCTACTCTTTTAGACAACAATCATTTGTGATTCAGAGGCAGGCCAAATGATTCCCTTCTAACAACATTTTCTGGAGGGGTACTGCAAGAAAAAAGTCCAGGACAGTAGCTGCTAAACATCTATACCAATGTTCTGGAGGAACTGGAGTATCTACAAGTATGTATAAAGTGCTGGGCAAATGATCCTGAAGATACATCAGTCTACAGAGAAACTCCAGTTACGGGATAAACTGGAGAAGACTCATGGAAGAGCTACCAAAACCAGTCCAAAGGCTGAAAGCTAATTCTGTACTTTCAGGAGTCTGGGATAGGATGAAGGCAGATTAATGAGCCTCCAAATGTCTCCGAAGGAAGATAGGTGGCCTATAACAGAAGGTCCATCTCTAACTGGGAAATGCCATTACAGGAGAAATTAGACAAGACCTAAAAGTGAATGCACAAAGACATGAAGCTCTCATAATGCACAGAGCACGTATTTCTGGATTCAGACAGTCTCTTAGACAGAGAAGCCACTACATTGCTGTGACACTAAACATATGTATTACCACTCACCAATTCCCTTCTGTGGTAAAGGAGAACGGTATTCCATCAAGTAGTTCAGGTATGGTTTCTCAGGGCTTATCTCGTAGTACCGTATATTTCCATCACCCTAAAGGCAAAAAGAATGAACATAAGCCAAGTTTACAGCTCTGCATGAGGGTCAAAGAAAAATGTGTGGGCCCAAATGCTATACAAGCTCATGTATGGGTGTACTCCATGCCAAAATATTTACCCCTAAATTCCTGTGCAAGAGGTTAGGGCTCTGCAATGCACTTCTCTTTGGTAAATATGGCATACCTGCAGCAGAATACATGGCTTAATTCTGTAGGACCTTGAGGTCCCATTCCTTATGGGGATTAACCTTCGGTTAATGAATGTCTGGAGCACCTTTGACTTCACCATGAGCGAGGTGGAGATGTAGTTCTTCTGGGAGAATTGGGCAGGCCAGTGTTCACTAGCATGGGAAGCACTTACCTTTCCCACAATGTAAAGCATGTGTGTGTCTGAGTCGTAGAAGGGAAACAGGATCCCTGAGGAGCCATCCAGATCTTCCTCCGTTAAAGGCACAGAAAGGTCATTCTAGGCAAAACACATGGGAAAACAAACTGCTGGAATTGCATTTCAGTGACCTCAAATCAGAGACACCTGACCTGAAGCCCCACTAATGGAAAGGATGTGATAAGCTCAGGTGATGGACAGCTGTCCTGAGGAAAGGTGGGAGATAGGTGTTCTGCCCCTGGCTCCATGCTGCTCCTCTGACTCTTGACAGAGGACATCATTCCTACTTCAGCATCTCAAATACCTGGTGACATTTCAGGAGCAAGTATAATGAGAAAAGCCAAGAAGGCCATATGAGCCAGTACTTCCAGTGAGGTAGACAGGTCTTGAAAGCATGTCCACATTGCACATTGAATGTTAGAATGTTAGGTTCCCTCATGATCTTTAGCTGAGATGTGGACCTCCACCACTGTGTACTATCTTCCCTAAGAGCAAGAAGAGTCTATGCTAGCGGAGAGGTCTCCATACCACACACTGAGAAGAGGCCTGGGGGAAAAGCCCTCCTAGGCCTTATGTGGGGAGGCGTGGTAAAAGTACGGTACAAGCCCTTGCAGGGGGCTGGTAAGAGCTATCTCCGCTCTCTTCAGTTTATCATGTCAGTAGGTTGTCTCCAGTGTTCATTTTTTTTCCAGTGTCAATGACAAATTGCCAGTGAGACTACTAAAAGTTTATTTAAACTGAGAACCGTGCTGATCATCCAAAGGTCCTTCAAAACCTTTCTTCCTGTAATTGGCACACCATTCCCTTTGCTGTAGTGGTTTTCTATGTTTTAAGTTTTGAGCTTCATAATAGTAAAATCTGCATGTCTTAAGAGTTCAACGAGCCCCTTCCGAATTGCTGTTACAGAGCAGTTCTTGGGTATTTGGTTGGTAGAAAAATTAAAGTGACAGCAAAAGGCAGAAAATTGGTGAAGCTGGTTAAGTTATGATTGCTGATCCAACTCACTTGATCCCATAATGCAATCTGCCTGTTATTCCACCGAGATGTTCCAGTAGAGAGCAGCTTTCCCATGCTTCCAAGAAACAAAACTTTATTGACTCTGTGAGACTTGTAGCTGGCTTCCTATAGAAAGACAAGGCACATCACTTAAATACAAAAGCACACTCTCTTCCAGCAGTATAAAATTGCATGAGAAATCATATCATGACAACAAACCACCTTCCATTGCCCATGAAGCTTATCTGGGCTGGCTAAAGCACAGCAGGTCATCATTGTAAAGGTACATTTCATGTTGCATGAGATCTCTGACTTACCAGGACTATTCTAAAGAGGGAAAAGAAACCAACAATCATTCTCTCTACCTGCTGATTCATACATTTTCAAAAAGGCAATCACAGTTAGGTTTAGGCAGGACTCTCTCTCTACATATATCTGTGCAAATACTTACAGTGGTAATTAACTTCATCCTATTAACAAAGTACAGACAGCAATAACAATCCTGGCAGTTGGACAAACATACACTAATCTCTACCCAGCATTCCCAAGGCACCCCCTAGAAGTATCTAGAGAACTGCAGAGAGGAGCTATCAAAACAGTGCACTTCAAGAAGGGTTGCAGAGCAAGGAGCATAGCAATATGAGACGGAGCACTGGCTTCAACAGCAGCGACGTTTCATGAATGCAATGCCACTATCTGATGTCTTGAGTAATGAGGTATTTTCATTGATGACATGAGTCTACCCAGAAGAGGAAATGCACCCGAATGAGATAAGCTGGACCACAAACCTCTGAATCCAACCTACTTGTAGGACTAATCCTGCACGAGGGTCTATCAGACGAATATTTCTGTCCCGGCAGGCTGTGGCAAGGAGGCTGCCATCTGTGTTGAATGACATGGAGAGGATCACATCTTTGTGAATGTCAAGGATCTTCACGGGGTTTGACAGGACAGGTTTTTCGGTGTCGAGGTTCCAGATCATTATCTGGGACAGAGGAACAAACAATTAGCCCTTTACTAACTGAAAAAGAAAACACTCCATGTACCCTATTCGCCTCTTCTTTGCATACACAGGTCTTACCATCATGAATGGTTGTTCTCCATCATTTAAATCATTCCTAGTACCTTACAGCAATGTATCAGGGACATGGTATCTGCCCAGAAGATCTATCAATCTCATACTGTTCTCAGACCATATTTTCTATATAAAAATGGTCGGTATCAATGCAGGTATTTACACTAATACACAGGAATGAAGCCTCAGGAAAGTGCACAGCATTGGATACTGCCCATTAAGGAAGAGGGGACTGAAGTTCATCAGAAGACTGTGAATTTAGCAAGCCTTTCTGGGATTTGTCACAGCGTCCCTTCACCACTGGGGTCACTTATGGAATTTTCCTCTGCAAAAAGGCTACTGAACATTTTATCATTCTCTTACATTTTGAAATTAAAAAAAAAAATCACCTTGCAGAACAGAACTGTCTGTTCCTTGTCATAGACATAATTTTACTTTTATCATTTTACTATCTGGAAAGATGTGTTTAATCAAACCCCAATATTCTCAGCATGCTTTCTGCCATGTAAAGAGTGCACTGCAGAGAAATAACCCACCTTGTAGTCATAGCCAGAGCTGAAGAGGATGTTACTGGCAGTCGGATGCCACTCAATGAGGCCAACTCTTCGTGTGTGACCAAGAAGTTCCTTGTTCGGACTGGTGATGTTTCTTGTCAGGAAGTGCTTGGGAATGTCCCAGATTTTAACCTGAACGGTAAAAGACAGGACTGTGAGATCCCTGAGAAAAGAATTAATTTGAGATTTGCCAATAACAAATTATTCTTTTGAAGGTGGACAGATGTGCTCCTGCCTTTGCTGAAGAAATACAAGAATTTCCATGGGCCTGAAGACTCCTGTTTAGCCAGCAATTCCATTGCTGTTCTAGCTCAGCAGTTAAATCCCTGTATCTGGTCAGCAGTTCACAAAATCAAGTTGCAGTGCAGTAAATCATTAAAAAAAAAAAAAGCTATTCTAAAGGTGATGAGCTAAGCCACAGATTATACAGATACCAAACCAGCTGCAGTCTTCTACCTTGTCTCCATTGAGGAAATGTGAAATAAATTTCAACAGAGAGTCCCAGCAGATGACAACATGACAGAGAAAAGTGAGAAAAAGATGAATTCGTGGCACAGCACAGGTGGGAAGAGGTGCAGAAAATGACTTTTGATCAGCCTGGGGAGGAGAAAGAATGGGAAGCTCTTCTGTCTTTCTTCAACTCCCTTGTGGACAGCGAATACAGGACTCAAATCTTCTCAGAGAGGCAAGGGTTTAATTGACAGCACCAAAGACAATGGAGGAAAGTGAAAATATGTGCACTGCTCAAAGATCAAAGGAGTCATTTGTGCCCAGCAGGTTCCTCAGCCTCTGGTTGCCAGAGGGACTCTGACCGCTAACATCTCATTTCCTGGTGCCAACATGATGTTGCCAGGGGAATATTGAAGTGAAGAGCACAGCTTCAGAAGCAGTAACACATTTTAGAACAACTTTTAGAGCTGTGATCAGCTACAAGCGCATCGTTTCCATCCTTTAGCCTGAGGAATGATCCCGTGTCAACAGTTTCAGTAGAAAAATGGAATATGAAACTGACAGAAAGCAACTCTTCTGCAAAGACACTAGTATCCTGGCACCAGACTAAACTTGAACTAGCAACATGCCCTTGCATTCTGATCTGCTGCAAAGAAGGATAGCCAGTAGACCGAGCAAAGGGAGTGTTCCCAGATTTGCAATTGGAAAATTGCATTTCTCCCAGTACAAGGAAGGCTTTGGTAAACTTACCCTGTAGATACCTGGAACATTTACCCTTTGAGAATAGGCTGGAGAAGTTGGGTTTGTTCAGTCTGGAGAAGAGAAAGCTTTGGGGGAACCAGATAGGGGCCTTCGATATTTATGAGCAGGCTGCTGAGAAAATGGAGCTACATTCTTTACTGAGTTATACAGTGGGAGGATGAGATATATTGGTAATAAACTAAATCATTAGTTTATTTTAAATCATCAGGGCAAGTGGATACAAAGAAAACAAATCTACATGAGAACAACTGGAACAAGTTGCTCAAATAGGCAGTGAGATCTTCATCCTTGGAAGTTTTCAGTACTTGACCAAGTTGAGCAAAAGGTTGGGCTAAAGACCTCCCATACCCGCCTTGAACTCAAATGGTTCTGTGACTCTGTAATTCTAGTAATAAACTTAGACTCTGCTCATTCTCCACCTGAAGTTCAGAGGAAGGTCACAGTGGTACCTTCCAGACACAAGCCCTTTCTAAGTCAGCATGAACACTTGGAATACAGCTCGGATGATATAATATAAACCCACAGACAGCCTGGAAGTTGAAAAAAGCCTTCAAAAAAAAGACATTAAGATCCAAAAAATCAAATAAAGGTCACTAAACAAGGAGGAAAATTCAACCATAGATCTTCAATTCAAGACAGACTTAGGGTAGAGATGAAGTAATAGAGAACATGCACCAAATCAGTGGTGAATGTACCCACATAGGAAACTTGTCAAGCAGAGAGTGAACATACCCAAAGGCAGAAAACATAAGGGACTGCTAAAAAGAGTATAGGAGTTGGTCGAGCTTCCTCACTGGCAAAGAGACACGTGACTCTTGAAAGAACATTGGAAGAAATCTTTTATTAGCCACATTTGGGCTGAACTTCTCTCACTACCATAAATCTCTCTTTTCAGTTTCTAATAATCAGACTGCACCCACCCTGAAGTAAAATGTGAGGCCAAATCTTAATTTTACAAATTTTAGCTAAAACAGTTATTGTTTGCCAACTCAAGCTTATGAGTGAGTTATTTTACCTCAAAAGTTATTTACCTCACTCAAGGTATTTTTTATAGGCTTACACTGTATTAACTTTAGCGTGTTTGTAGTCTTCTTATCTTTATATTTGGAAAATACTCATGCACACAAATTTTGAGCATAAAATATGACCAAAGTTCCTCAGCTACTTCGTAACTGATCCAGCATGACTTCACAGAGTAACTGAGGGCAGAAACAAGATCACATTTGCTACGCAGGCAGTGAATCTGAAATAGCCATCCCAGATTATGTTGTGTTAATGCCCTGATTCTGTGGTAAAAGAGCAGTTTCAAGTGGATTACCTTCAAACAGTTATTCCATTTTAAATTCATATCCTGTTTTGACCATGAAAACACAACCAAAAAGATTAAAGTCCTAACAAAAACATATATTCCTCTTCCCGCTGATTTTGGTACCTATTATAGCATGATCTGGAAGGAATTTTGTGCTTCTGACCACAACAAAACTATTGGAGATTTACTCTCGACTGGCTTTTTAAAAAATATATACATATTTTCAAGTCTCAGAATAGGGCCTTTAGGTTTCTGATTTTTTTCCCCCACAAGCATATTAGTTAAATAATAACAAAGAATATAAACAGGAAAACTTACAGTGGCATCTTCTGAACACGAAGCTATTACGAAGTCATTGAATGGGTTCCACTTGATGTCCAGAACATTCCCTTTATGCCCACATATTTTGGGATAATGTGGGTCAAGTTTGCCGGTCTGAAAAAAAAACAAATATCAAACCTAGGGTGAGGCATAAGATTACAGAACATTTTCAAAGAAGGCCTGACCTAGCTCCAGAGGAAAACTTCTTTCTGCTATATATGCCCCAAATGCCCAGGTGTTCTCCATCTGTTGAACATGTTTTTCTGCTCTCCCTGAAACGCAAGTCTTGATTATATCGCTGATAAGAAAGAAACTGGTGCTTCTCCGGCCTTTCTAAGCACATTCAGTTATTCGGAAATCCTTATAGATGTAACAATCCAGACTGCTGGTTAAGACACCAAAAGGAAACCTAGAAGGGAAACACTTAGCAAAGTTTTGAGTCTTACGCATATTTTAAAGATGTGGAGTGGGAGAATGAAAATATCTTATTTTCTTCTTGATTAGCACATTTCTTACAAAAAGAAAAAAAAAATTTTTTTTTTTTAGTCTCCTCAACTACTATTTATACTATTTTAAAAATGACACATTGAAAGTCAAATTATAAATCAATTTTTCACCTTAACAACCGGTTTCATGTCAATGGTTTTGAAGTCCGGTTTCTCACCAAATGCAATCCTCATTGAGGACTCTCAAAAAAAAAAAATGCCGGATTTGGGCAGCTCATGGATAAAAAAAAGTCATTCATAAAGAAGTGCATTAAGGAGCAGTGAAAATCTTGTGCCACATGGGGGCTGTGTTGAATTAAGATAAGCTAGGAATGGAAACACCCTAGCTCCCATCAGTGTCTGTTGCAGAGTAGAGTCTGCAAAGTGGATGGGTTATGTTAGAGAGAGCACTGAGGATTTGGTTAACATGGGAAAAAAACACTTGCTTCTTCATAGCAGGAGCAAGGAGAGTTTGTGGGCCTCCAAGAAACATCCTTCCTGCCCAGACTTGTGTCCAAGAGCAAAGGTTAGTCCCACCAGAACAGAGGAAGGTGGTCACTTTTATGCCACCTGGAAGAGCTGTGAACCACAGTGGATGCAAATACCTGCTCTTTTGGAAAGCAAGCCCTTCTGTAGGAGTACACTTGCCTAGAGATGGACCTTGCAAGTGCACAATGGAGAGAAATCTGCTTTGACCTGAGCCTGAACATGGATAGGATTTCATTGAACTTCTGCCAACTGGAAGGTTTGGGTGTTGCACAGAGCAAAATGTATAACAATTCTGGCTTTACTGGAAAGGTTGCAGCTCAGACCAGGACTAACTTGCTTTAACTGAACAGCCAGAGGGCTTTGAAATGTAAAATACTGTGGGTTTTATTTCAGACTACAATCTTAAAAAAATATTATTTTTGTAGCAAGGGCAAAACAAAGTGACTGGGGAAGACAGAAGAGAGATAAAAAGGTTTTAATAACGAAGGTTCCCCCACCCATTGTGTCCTTTAGCAGGTGAGTTCTTGGTTCAGGGTTTGGCAACTCAATGGGCTGGGTAGCCCAAGCTGTCTCCACAGGATCCCTTGATCCCCACGGGAACTCGGCCATCTCCCATAGCCAGCACTGGTCCCCTCCCTGTTCCACCCCATGGGCTCTCAGGCTTTCCTGCATCTTCACACCTTACTGAGGCCTGTCATCTCTGCCCCATCCTCTCCCATCCCAACTGCTCCATCAGGCTCTACTGACTCCCAAAAGGGAGCTTTGCAGTCCCCTGTGCCACTTTCACCCTACCCAGTGTAACCCAGGAGCCTCGTGACACGGCAATAAAACTGCGCACAAAAATGTATGAAAGATCCTGTTGGCTGCACATGTCTGTGTAGAAATCAAGCTGTCCACATAATGGGGGAGATTTCATTCCACAGTGCAATGACTGTTTTAGTAAGCAGATGTGTTATCCTTCATGCAAGCATACCTGACATTTCAGAATTATTTGCAGACCTAGAAAACAAGCTTAATTTTTCACTTGCTCTCTAAATTTAGAGCATTTTTAAAAAGTAGGTCACCAAAAATGGAGTTTCCTAATGAAATCCACTTCTGTTGGGACTGCTGCTAAAAGTTCCCGCATATATTTAATGGGGGTAGATGACCATGAGGTAAGTCATCCCCAGTTCCCAGGTGTTCTATGAGGGCATTAACATATCTGGTCACACAATCACATAGTAGCTGAGATCAGCAGGCACCTCTGGGGAACATCTGGTCCAACTCCACTTCTCAAGTGGAATCACCTACAGCAGGTTGTCCAGGGTCATGTCACGTGGAGTTTTGAACATCTCCAAGGATGGAAAATCCACAACACATCTGGGCAAGCTGTGTCAGTGGTAAAACACCTCTGCAGTGAAAAAGCGTTTGCTTATGACAGACAGAATTGCCCAAGTTTCAGTTTGTTCTCATTGTCTCTTGTGCTGTCAGTGAGCACCACGGAGAAGAGTTGGCTCCAGCTCAGTTAGGCAGAGCCAAAGAGCCATCCCAAGTTTTGTTTTACAACCACTGTCCTCAGACAGAGGGAGCAGGGACTCAGCCACAAATTTATCTCCCCGGTTTTCAGGACTTTGTTCTCAGTTTGAATTCCTTTTGTCTTACTCTTCAAAGGAAGAGACAGATGAGGTGCAGCTTCTTTTAGTTTCTTTCACAGGAAGGCCACAAAACTGTCCTCAGAGTCAAGATCCTTCCTTGTGCCTCCTCAAGCATGCCTGTATCTGCCACCAATCTGCACAATGTAGGAAAGTGGCTCATCTCCCAGTTACGCTCACTCTGCCCATGAATCCTAGGACTGACAGTATTTACAAATGAATTGTCTGTTCTGGGCACCCAAGGGCTGCAGCGCCTGCAGCCTGTTCCTGGCCAGACACGTTGATTTTCCACCCAAACCCCCTGCATGGCACATTCTTCTTGAAGATTTAACTGACAGTTTTTCTGTAGCAGGAGGTTGCTTTTGAACAGTTAATTGCACTTTGGCTTGAACGCCAAATTGTGCACTTTTATGCCTGCTGAAAGGCAGGTATCTACAGCAGAGAGAGCTTCACCTGTGCAGAGCTCTGCTGAATACCACCCATTTCTTGCAGAATGCAAGAGATGATATTCCTACAAGGAGGAGCAAGAGAGCTCCAAACTGGTGACTCAGCTTGAGAGGAAGACAACAAGCAAGGATGTAGGCTGTGTTAAAAGGAGCAAGGTTCAGCCTGCGCTCGAGCACATGCAGAGGTGGGCAAATCCTCTTTGCAAGCACACAGAAAAGGATAGAAAGACACCAAAGAAGCAAGATTCTTCACCTCTGCAGCATGAGCTCTATGTCCCTCCCTGTCCTCACAGACATCTATAGCAAGTGACTGGTGCTAATCAATCACAGACAGGTATCCCAGTCATGTATCTCAAGAATGGGTTGCATGATATTGCCTTCATTTGACTTCTTTTCTCATCCAGATAACACCTAAACTCCAAAGACCCTACTCACCTGAAAGAAAATTCACATTTTTGTTTATGTATTTTAATTATTCTTTTCTGTATCCTCTTTATTTCTAATACAGCTTTGACTTCTGCAAGCAGCATTGCATCTCCAGGGGAAGTACTGAAGCAGTGTCATTAATGGAAAAATTGTTACTAAAGGAAATCTGAGCTCTGAAGAGGTGAGAAGACAGAATAATTCATAGGAAGCAGCACAAATGTCTTCAGCTCATTTTGCTAACACTATTTAAGAGCTGGGTCCCACCCTCCATCTTGCAGTCACCAATTGCCTGCTCATAGATGCAGCTCTATGATAAAGACAAGTTCTTCAACCTCAACACATCATAGTCGAAGGGGCAGAAGTGATTCAGTCAAGAAAAACAAGGTAGTGGTTAATTTTTTGCAAGAATATCTCTGAAGAGCAGCATGAATGAGATGAATAAACAAAGTCTATAAGGGCCAGGAACTGTACTAGATCCTTCAGGGATAGCCAGTTCACTTTCATCCTCAGCATATATATATTGAAAAAGTGGTATTACAACAACACCATCAATTAATTTTTAATTAAAGACTGGACTTTTACCTTTCATCTGGCCTGCCCTGATTCCAGAGAGCTCATAATCTTATACTGAAGTTAATCAGGAGCTTACACACCTAATTTTTCAGAAGCAACAAGTATCAGAGAAGCAGCTTCCCTCTTAACCCACAAGCAAGCTATTTATTTCTGAAAGGGAGGTTTTTCACCATCAGAGCTTGCAGCTTAAGAGCTGCATTGTCTGATAACTGTGTCTCTTCTGTTCTTCCACAAAGCAGAAGGTGGTTAGAACAAAACGTACAGTACTTGCCTTTGGTGACAGCTGGAGCCATGCAACTAAAGCACCTTGTCAGCTTTTGCCCTCTGCCTCTAATAACTGCTTTTCAGCTTGCAATTTGTTCTAGGAGTAAAGCACCTGAACAACATGGTGCCTACTAATTTATATAAGGAAGGGAGTTCAGATACGAAACAAAGGCAATTGTTCAAGAGCCACAAGCAAGATGCACATAAGATGCATGGGCAAGAATCATCTGTCAGGAACCTGAGGCCCCTTTAGCGCATCTAGCAATGGTGGTGGCATCAGCCCAGCATCCTCCCTGGGGTCTACCTCATGAAGTTCAACAAGGAGAAGCACAGGGAGAGAGGAGGAATAACCCTCGACACCAGTACAGATTAGGGGTTGACCTGCTGGAGAGCAGCCCCACAGAGAGGGACCTCAGCATCATGGTAGATGACAAGATGACCATGAGGCAGCAGTGTGCTCTGGTGGCCAAGAGGCCAACGGGATCCTGGGGTGCATTAAGAAAAGCGTCTCCAGCAGGTCGAGGGAGGTGATCGTCCCCCTATACACAACCCTGGTGGGGCCACATCTGGAGTACTGCGTCCAGTTCTGGGCTCCCCAGTACAAGAGGGATGTGGAGCTGCTGGAGAGAGTCCAGCGCAGGGCTACCAGGATGATCAGGGGCCTGGAACATCTGCGCGGTGAGCAAAGGCTGAGGGAGCTGGGCCTGTTCAGCCTGGAGAAGAGGAGGCTGAGGGGGGACCTGATCAGTACCTATAAACACCTCAAGGGAGGCAGTGAGGAGGAGGGGCCAGCGATAGGACTAGAGGAAATGGCCACAAGCTGAGGCACCAAAAGTTCCACAGGAACTTAAGGAAAAATTCATTAACAGTGAGGGTGACAGAGCCTGGCACAGGCTGCCCAGAGAGGTTGTGGAGTCTGCTCTGGAGATCTTCCAAACCTGCTTGGATGCAGCCCTGTGCCCCGTGCTCTGGGTGACCCTGCGTGTGCAGGGGGTTGGACTAGATGATCCCTGAGGTCCCTTCCAGCCTCAACCACTCTGTGATTTGTGATTCTATGATTCTACCTGGCCATGCTCCGTGCTCACCTGGTGAATGGGGATCACAAGGAAGGCTCCGCCGCCGGCGCACTCCGTCACTACTGCAATGAAGTGGGGGTTGACGGCGCAGAAGTGGTTATCGTGGACGCTGAGGGTGATGGGCACGCAGTCGTAGCATTTGTCCTTGTTGGCAGCCTTGCCGTAGACGTGCCGGAATTTGGAGCTGCGGTACAGAGGGTGCCAGGACATCTGCAAAGGCACAAGCATTGTGAGGACCACGCTACCCTTCCCACAGTCATGACTTGCAGATCCCTCTTGACCTCTCCCTGGCATGAACTCACCCTCCTCTCGCCCCTCTGTCCCTTTCCTCATCATCATCCTGACTATGGCACCTCTGTAGCTCTTCCTTATCTTGCAGAGATAGGATTGAAAGGGAAGGAAGACAGTTCTCTCCACCCACCTACTTCTCCCTCCTGAGACACAATCAATGGTCTGTATCGCTGGGACAGGGCCATATAGCAGGAGGAGAAAAATCTCTCCTGGCATAGAGCTGGAGAAGCTTAGGAGATGAAACATGTTGAGTGGGAAAAGCCCAGTGAATACAGTGAATGAACCAGTATGGATTTACACACCATTGAGGGAGTTGGGCCCTCAAAAGACTCTATATTTGGCTTGCATGAAGGGAGTTGCATGAAGTTTGACAAATTATACAAGAAGTTATAGTCATCTGCTTTCCCCCACGCACACACTAACAATGATATTCTGCATGTCTGGTTTATAGCCACACCACAGTCAGCATTTAAAATGGTAATTTAATGAGGTATATAAAATATGCTTAACACAAAAATCACTTCCCACAGAACAGGGAACCTTTATGGAACTGACACCTTCCTACGGGTGGCAGGGCAAAGACTGGGAAAGTGCTTTTTTTTTTGCCCCGTTTTGGTCCTTCTAAATTGCATTTGGTGCACAGCATCATTAGCAATGTTGGATCTGAAAATAGTGATACCCCAGTGTGAGAGGAAACCCAACCAGCCAGCACTTGAGTTACAGCAGGACTTACACTACTCCCTATATGAACAAGCTTTTGTAGAAAATTCTGCAAACAGCAGCAGAAAGCCAGTTATATTATCACCATTCAACACAACTTGACAAGCAGGAGACCAAGCAGTTCTACACCAAAATGTCCGTGGTTTTGGCACATTTCAAACTGTCTTCCTCTCGGAAGTTCTAAGGGAGATGAATGAGAGATCTGCAGGCACCCAACAACCAAAAATTCAAAAGCTCACATCCTACGTTGCACCAAAGATGTTGAACTGAATAGCACAAGTCCTGTCTTACTCCCAATCCCCTAGCACAGCTCTGAACAAAACCCACCTTGAACAAATACTCATATTAGAAAAATAAATAAATAAATCAGCCCAGATACATCCCAGGTTGCTTTTACACTCCTGTTTGTCACACTGGAAAAAAAAATCACCACATCGTTTGGATGAACCAGTTGCCTTCTAACAGCAGAAACACAAGTTTTTCCAAAATAAATTATCGCCTGGCTCCAAAGAACTTCTAGCTGAACTACTCTTCAGGTAGGAGAGAGTTTGTGGTCTAGAGGCACGAGGTTTCTCTGCAACAGGGAGCTCAATTCAGGAAGAGCTCACCACATATAAGAAAAAGTCATTTTGGCAATCATTAATAACAACGGGATACTGAGGTCCTATGCAGATTACCTGCAACACTTCTTCAGTAGTCAACAAGCATAAAAGGAAATAAATGAACTTTTTGGAGTATATTAGGAAGAGATAACTCTCACTCTCCTACTTCAGTTTGTAGACTTAAGGTTCAGCTGTCATAGGAATGGATTTCAAAACATCTACAAATCTCCCAAGGAGCAAGATGGTAGAATACAACCAGAAATTCCAGACAATTGGCAAAAATAGTCCCAACGTGTCCCTCTGACAAGAAATCTCAGCATTAAAAGTGGAGATTTTGGAATATATATATATATAGAAAACCCATCTGAACAGATGCGGCCTCATTGTGTGGAAAAGTTAATCCAAAACAGACCAGAAGTGGATATTAGCAAAGACTTATTTGGGAGGAACATGCTGGCACTCTAAACAGGTCACCAAGGCAAAAGGGGGTCAAGAGTGGAGGTCTCTGTCCCTGGAAATCCCCGCTGATATCCCATTGCTTGACTAGATGATATCACACGCTCCCTGATCCAGCACTAGCAACAGTCCTACTCCAAGCAGGAGGCAGCACTGCAGAACAGAGACTCCTTTCTATCAGCCATGCCAGTATTCATGCAAATGAAACTCAAGATAAGGATAAAACTACGATGCCAAGATGAAGTTCATGCAAATGGGTGACCACAAGATGCAGAAATCATAAGAGGGCTGCAAAGTCCCTATCCAAGTTGGAAGAATACCTCCATGTCTCAGTATCTTGGCACACAAACACTTCCTAGGAATCTGCATGGGACTTCGCCTAGAGAGAAAGATCTATGATCACCATTAATTATTACATGCAAAATCCTCAAACGTGTTACTTAATTGGCCATAGCTCTAAAGAGATTTACCTGAGCTATCTGCAGACCAAGGACAGGGAGTGAAATTCCAGAATATGGAAAAATTGATACCCATGCCTGACCATGTTCTGAGGGACTCTAGAAAATCATCCACTTGCTCCTACATACCTAAAGGCCTGGGAGTGAAATATCCATCCTTTCGGATAGCACACAGAACTGCAACCGAAGAAATGACAACACGGATCCAAATTCTCTATATGTATTAGAACAAACAAGGACTCCAGACAATCTCTAGCACAGAATCCTCTGTGAGGAAGACCAAGAACATGGTGCCATCTAGCCAGACTGAAAACATACAATTTGCAACTGAGAAAGCTCACATCTTCTCTATAGAAATGGAATTAGATTTGAGAGGCAGTGCCCAGGCATTACCCAATGTGAGGAAAGGGATTATAGAAATAATCAGGAAGATCCTGGGAGAGCTACCATTTTAAGGAAGACTCAGGAAAGAGGCAATGGAAGGAAAGTTATATAAAAGCAATAGTTTCTAAAGTGAGCATGCTGAGAAGTTAAAAAAATATTCTTGCTTTGTTATCTTAAAATTATTCTGGTTGTAAATGTTTGAACTCACGCAATGCCTTCTTCATCTGACAAGACTGTTCAAAATGTGCCTATCAAAGACCCAAGGTCTCGATAGTAAACCCAGGACTGGGATTTGCATACAATGAACTGAGTCTCACTGAATTCTGAATGCTCATTTAGGTGACTATAAGACACAGAGATAGCACTGGTCCTGAAGAAAAGGGCAGGAGAAAGTCCTCGGAAGGCTAAATAAGTTTTGGAGCTGCAACAAGGAGATATGTATCTTGTTATTCAATCCATTCCTTTGCATCAAAGCCACATACAACCGAAAGCAGCACACAGAAAAATTCCAAAGTCTTGATAAAACAACTGTAAAGAGTCTTATTTGAATGTTGAAAACTCTTTCTGTGACCCTAAAGTACCAACACATGAAGACGGCAACTCCAAGAATGTTCCTGGAACTAAGAAGGTTACTGAGGGAAGTGACATCCCACACACCCATAAAACTACAGGCCTGTGCTCAGGAATTGTCCACAATCACTGCAGAGACTGAGAACCCAGTCTGCCCAGATATATCCTTCTCTGGAGTCAAGGTAGCATAGGAAACAGGCCTCAAGGTGGCCCAGGCCACCGATGGCCGATTTCCATCAGCGGTCCTTTTCCAGGCTCTTTGCTCAGCTACATTTCTTCTCCTCCTTGTCTTTCCATCTTCTGCAAGGAAGATGTTGGTTCATCTATTCCACGTCTAGAGCCTCTTGATCCCCTCTGCTCTTCCTTCTCCTGGATTCAACACCATTCTTCTTCCTGGAAGAGGCAATTTGACAAAGCCCCTTGCCTCCTCCAGACGACTGAAAGCAGGGCACAATATATATATTCGTATATCTTTTGCACCCAGAGGGAACTGTAGTGTGGCCTTTCACGACACATCGCAGTGCAGAAGTGGAGATTATTATTTGTGAATGCAACTGAGATGAGCCACCCGGAGAGCCAAGCAGCAGCCCAGATACAGAAGCTAGGAAGAGCTTGGCTGAACAAAACCCTTCTCTCAAGTACTGTATATGAGCAGTTTGCAAACACGTGTTTTGGAAGAACAGCACAGTGTTATCTGCTGCATTCCTGTACCAGGCCTTATCTCTATAAGTGGACTTTCCTCTTTTATTTTCTACTCCTACACGAGTGTAACCTAGCCAAAACAGCTTCCTCACAGAAAATGTATTCCTTGGTAGCTGCTCCTGCAAGGTGTCCTCTACCACTGAAGCTTGAAACGCCAAATTGAATGAAGAAAACGCATAGATTTGATTCCACTTGAATAACATGAATAAATCAGATCCAAATTTAACACCAGCATGGACATTTGCCAGCCAGACCCAGGCTTTCCTAAAGCTTCCTGAAACTACACTACTGTAGGAACATAATATTTACTGTGTGCAGAAAATTCTGTGGAATGGACAAGCTGGTGAGGACAGACTAAGAAATGGTGTAACCCATCACCTCATAGTCATTCTAACCCATAGTGTAACCCATCACCTTCAAGTCATTCTAATTCAGGTGTCTGCCGCCAGTACCCCAGTACAGACCATCCCTCTCCATGTCAAAGGTTCATTTCAGTCATCAGAGATGAGTCATCCTGCTCCACTACACACTAGGCCATCAAGTAGAGCCATGGATCAAAGGTAGGAAAATGTAGACTAGAACACAATGTAGTATAGCAGCATATCTATCGGCCAGATCAGATGCTACCCGAAACTGTACCTCACTTAACCACCCACCCCATCCACCCTCACCAATCAAATTCATGATAGCCACCATAGCTGGTGTAGCTCCATCCCATAGAGGCCTAATTGCACAACCCCCATGTCTGTCTGCAGGTGGCCAAGTCTCCACAGTGACAAGGATGGCCAGGACTCACAGACCTCCAAGTGCAACTTGTGCCACTCACTTAACTCACCACCAGCATTCCCCATCATTCACTCCTAGAAGGCCATCCTGAATCCTCTCCTGTCTTGGGAAAGCCCTGCAGCAGAGCTGTCCCCACTCACCTGGTAAGGGCTTCCAAGCTCCTCAGATGACCCCCACTCTGCATTTTGACAGATATCACATCAGACAGACCCATAAACCCTGTCATGTAGCGAGCCTTCCGTGCTCATCTCATACCTCG